TCTATATAATTTGAAAATATAAAGACCTAAACATTCAGCCTCTACCATAGTTGAGATAATAATGCCTAAATCATGCCATCAACCATGATGTGAATTTGCATAACATAAATCAAATGCTTGACCATATTATTTAAACATCATGTTGTAAATACATGCAATTTATGTGATGATTTCTAATGTCAAACAAGATTTTATATATATATATATATATATATATACACACACACACACACACAAAGAAACAAATGTAAAAACAAATCACTCTAGAATACAATTTTAATGACTGTATTTTTAAAATTATATATATATATATATATATTTAAGTAAAATAACAACAACATTCAGCTGCATTCACACTTGAGTTTTCAACATATCATGAAACAATTTTTATACTTATATCATGGATACAAAGGTCTTGTAATAAAAAATTCCTCAAGTCTCTCCACCAAATTTGTCCATGTAATACAGATTGTAATATCGTTTTATTTTACATTTTGTGGATATTATTAATACACAAAATAAAATATGAAAAAATGTATTATTTAAACAAGAGGCAACATTCTTTTGACATATATATATCTATATACATATATATGTAACAACATTCATGTCAAATTCTTATTAAAGCTCAATTTCTTCCATTCTTTTAAATGATGATTATAATTCACATCCACCACTTTTCTTCTTCTTTAATCCCACTTTTATGTTTCCGAGGTAGGAATTCCGATCCGGAACAGTCCACCTCTCCCTCCAAGTGTGGATCCTCCTTTTTTTTTTCTTTTTTTTTGATACATATAAATCTTACTTATTTTCATTGCACCTTTCTTAAACTATGTGGTTTATAATTTAAGAAAATTTGGAATCAACTTATTTCTTTACACTTGTATCCAAAAAATCATTATTTTTTCATTAATAAGAAATAAAATAGTAAAATAAAGCTTTAGAACAATATTTATTTTAGTACAAATCTAAAATCTAAGGAAAGGAAATAATTGGTCTTAAATTTAAAAACAAGACAAAATGAATGCTCATTTATTCTAAATTTTTTTTATCAAGTCATTAGTTATGGAACCAATCATTAGAATCCTATGTTTCTGATTTAAATCTTAAAAGTATTGTTAAAATAACATTAATGATAAAATAAGAAAAACATGCTTATAGAAGCCTTAGACAACAAGCAATATTTACATAAATTAAGCAATCCATTCCTGTGTGGGGACATAATAATATCCCAAAATTTGAACTAGAGCCATCAATTAGTAGAACATTTATTATTCTTAAAAGCATGCTTTATTTCTAACTTCAGATATATTATATAATACTTGAATCACAGAAATTTAACCATTTTAATCATCATGGTCATGACTTTTAAATCTCTTTTTGTTATTCTAAAATTAATTTGTTTTAGTCTTTGAAAAACAACAAATGCTTAATAAAAATTAACATACAAATTAATTTAATTCAACTAGATAGCATTGTATTTACAGTGAACATAATTCAGTAACATAATTTTTGAAAAAAAAAATATTATTATAAATGTGATGTTTGATTACGTTTATAATTAAATGTGAATTTAATTTTTGTAAATTTTTATAGTTGTACCAAATACAGAAGTAGAAAATTGTATATATATATATATATATATATATGTTTGAATTTGATACTTGAAAAAAAACTACATCTTTAAATGATGCATGACATTTTATTGTCACAATTTTCAAATTTTATAAATAGTATATTTGTATGCTGAGTTACATGCTTGCGTATTTTTTTAATCTTAGAATATCCAAAAGTGCAAATGGATAATTTATCATTGGATGATAATGAAGAGGTATTTTGCAATTAATATTTATCCAACTATATATAGAAATGCAGTCCAAAAGAAGTTTCTTATGTAATTCTACCTCATGATACATTATTTATGTATTTTAAATTTTAGCATGTATTTTAGATCTTCTTTTTCAATTTTTAATGAACTGAACTTACAACACAATGAGGCCCATTTGAAAGGAATGAAATCAGTCATAATTTGGTTAGATCAATTGTTCTATTTTAAAATTTTAAATGCAAATCTCAATGATGAATTGATGGTTTGTTTTCATTGTTTTTCATTTAAAAAATCAACGACCATTAAATTATGTATATATATATATATATATATATATATATACACATACATATAAAGATAGAGCCAAAGTTATGGAGCTTGGATCTTATATTCTACAAATTGTAATCATAGCATATCTTTCATGTTCATATACAATGATAAATATGATATTACTGATACAAGTTAGTATACAATAAATTTGTTGCTTTGCAATAAAACACACAATATATATATATATATATATATATATATGGGTAATGAACACGATGTATTGGCTACTTGAGTAATAGACCCATTTTATGTCTTTGCTCAACTATATTTTTTAAACAAATTCTAGTCTATGTGCTTTGACACAATACACTTCTTTTAAAATTTAAGATTTTGGATTAACTCTGTATTGTTTCATTCTATATTAGGTTCCTATTATTTTATTGTATTTTATCTAAAATTAAAATGCATTCAGGTTCCAAACCAATATTGTGTACAAAAACAATTCAATTGAAGTTGAAAAACATAAACAATTATATATATATATATATACAGAGAGAGAGAGAGAGAGAATAATAATAATAATAATAGTAATAATAATTGAAGGAACGAATGAACAAATGCATGAGTGAGTGAAATAAGAAAGGCTAAAAAGAGAGTCTTAAAAGCAAGCGTTATGCCTCATAATGTGCATTTTGGGTGGGGAACAATGGCCTTCTCTTCTTCAATGTACAATTGTACATATGTATGTATATAAACATATGTATGTATGTATTCATATTCATTTTCCCAAGTCGATGCCAAGTACGGTGGGGGTCAGCTATGGAGATCATTGATTAGAACGTACCACAACATAATGTAGCCAATGAGAAGATGCAACTCTCCCCCCTCCCCCTCCTTTATAATACCAACCCCTCCTTGATTTCCTAATTCCAAAGTTGCAAAATCAAAGAGGCGGGGGGGAAAAAGTAAAAGAAAAAGAAAAAGGGTTTTTTTTTTGTCACCACCATATAGCTGAAGACAATTTCATAAAATATATTTCCTTTTAGGATTTTGGATTTTAGCTGTTGGAGTTGTTGTGTGTTGTAAGATTTAGGGTTTTGTAATTGGATTTTTTTTTTTTTTTTTTTTTTTTTTGGTTTGGTTTTTTAGGGTTTTGAAGTGAGAGAGAGACCAACCAATAGCTCATGTTCCAACAAGAAGAAAGACATTAACCACCTGAGCTCGGAACCAAAGGGGAGAGAGAAATACAGCAAGAGAGAGAGAAGGAGAGAGAGAGTGACGTTTTTGCTTGTGGCTGGCGGGGGGGGGGAGGACACATTCTGAGATGGTGGATTTGGAACATGTCTTGGGCACTATATCATACATAATAAAGGGAGTTGCACTAACTAGTCTAATCCCCATCTTCAATTCCATCCACTTTCCATGAAGTCTTTTTCAACCCTTTAGTAGTAGTAGTAGTAGTAGTTGTAGATCAATACTCCTTTCCCTTGTAAGAAGGTCTCCCATCCCTTCCCTTACTTCTTCCTCTTCTTCTTCTTCTCACAATCCCTTTTGTATCTCCTCCCCCTTGAGAACACCACCACCACCCAGAGCCCGCCCCCACCTTTTTAGACGAGTTGTGCATAACCAAGAGATGTGAGTGAGTGAAGGGTGGATGGAATGGTACACTTGGAGGGAGGACACACATGTATAGTTGGAAAAACACTCACAAGTACTTGCAAACAAGGGCAAAATGAAAAAAAAACAGGAGAAAGAAACAGAGAAATAACCCCAAATGTTGCATACCCATTCAACCCCAAATGGGCATACCTTTTTACTTTTCGTTTACTTTGTATTCCGTAAAGGAAAGGGGGCAGGCATCAATCGACCAATCAGAGGAGCAGATTGAGGGGAAGAGTAATAATGCCCCACAGTATTTCGTTGAGCTTGCAAGTTATTCGTGGGTTGGTAATAAAGCTCCACAAAAGCGCCCCCATAATCCTGTTTTCCCTCTCTCCTTTTTCCTTTTCTTTTCCTTTTCTATCTTTCCCCTTCCCTTCTTCGGGGGTAGGGGTGCCAAGTCAGCATGCCAACTGTTCACATGCAGGTTCGGTGGGTGCCTTGGTTCACACAACAACCCCCCCCTCAACGCAACTCAGTAAACAAATGTAACCCGTTTTTTACACCTCCAAAAAGAACCCAACAGAAACGCGACACGTGTCAGAAAGTGATTTGGCTACAGACACTTGGTTGTGAGATTTTATTACCACAGGGACAGGAAAAGACGAAGTGAAGCTGCTAGGACGAGAAAGCGAGAGGAGAGAGAAAGGGCGCCAGAGGAAGAGACAGATAGTGAGAGAGAGAGAGAGGCGGGAAGCGAGAGCGGTGACGCTGGAAATCATCGACGGCGGAAGCTTGTGGCGCCGGTCGAGCTACGGCGGAAGGAGTCTTAAGAGGTTTGAAATTTACGAAGAGGAGGAAGAAGGAGGAGGAATTCCATAGCTAATCAGTGTTTTGATGCAAGAGGTGGACAAGGAGAGGAGCAGGGGCTGCAGCAGCACACTCTACATACACTTTCTGCTGCTACGATCGGAGGGAGGATTGATCGCCCACTCGCGATCACTTCATGCAGCGGGGGTGGGGTCCGTTTCGGGGGGAGAGGGAGGGGGGCATCATCATGGAGCGGTACCGGAATTGGCAGAATATGCCGACGTCGATCTCGTCTCAAAGCAGTCCGCTACGCCTACTGTACCACCACATGATTCGTGTATTATTCCTTGAGTCTGGTGAAAGGTATGACGCCACGACCATTTCACCTGGGGGAGGGAGGAGATCGGGTGTGTGTGTGTTTTTTTTTATTTTTTTTTTTTTTTTTATTTTTTTACAGCGGCAGAGGCAGGGAGAGACTTTTCCGCGAATGGTGCGCACTGGAGATTGAGTGAGTGGGGGGGATTAATCAGTACAAAGCCCCCGGGCTTGGGTGCTCTACAATATTTTATCACTAGCTTGAGCGTTGGGAGGAGGTTTGATTGAAGCTTGGTAATAGTAAAGCCGTCTGTTCCGTCTCGGTGGTCGAGTTGGTTGACGACGTAGGCGTAGCTCATAGGCGCTTGATGAGGCGCTGGTGTTGAGCAGTGAACCTGTTTCCCTGGCTGCTGATGAAGTCTCACAGGTCGTCATTCGGATAGCTTACAACTTTCTTGGTATTCTACTGGTTTTGGGGCATACGAAGCACCGGCTTTTGAATTTGGTTCTCTATAAGGGATTTTTTGTCATTTACAAAGTTGATGTGCAGATGTTGGACATGAATCTGGGCACGAATTGGCAGTAGAACAATGTGTGAAACATTTCACGGCCCATGGATTTGCAGTTTTAGTTACTGAACGTTCTTGCGGTAGCAAGAGATGGATTGTTAGATTCACGGTTGCTGCGAGATGATTTGATTGTCATGTATATTATGTTGAGATTGTCTTAGTCTGAAAAAGGATAACTGCGATCTACATTCCTTGTACTTCGATTCTTACTTTAGCTGCTGACTAAAGGGACGATACTGATCTCGTGAATAGACCATGTTGCTGCAGGCTATGGTTTTAAACATTGTTGGCTTTTGAGTAGTCTATGCCGGTCACTGCCATGCATGCTTGGCTTAGATAGGTAGACTCAGTGCTTTCAGTGCACGGCCCATTTGTAACGATCATCTTGCGACCGGTGCATCGCTCTAGTGGATGTTCATGCGTTGTCGATCTATTGACAAGAAAGTTGGTCTATCTTGTGAAATTCTGCAAGGACCCAGTAGATGCACTGGCTTGTGTATCACACGTTAGTAAAATGCGCTGAATATTTAATGGATCGTCCTACACCACTAATAATCTGACTTCGAAGACCATGAACACATGTTTGGGCCAAGGTGCACGGCAATATGCTATTCCAGGTTACTCGTAAAACAGTATCCTTTAAGAATTTTTCAGATACGACGTTTAGTTAGTTAGTTAGTTTGTTTGTTCATTTTTCGTTTGTACGTGAGGATGGCGGAGCCACCGTAACGAGTTGACGTTTACCGTCTACTCAGTTAGAACTCAGCTTTTCTTCAAATTATTACGGGTAGCGCACTAACTGGTCTTCATGAAGGGCCGATGCGGTACACGGTCTCATGGGTGGTCTATGGTTGTGCAGGAGATCACAGCTTGTAGATGATTTTGTGGTCTTGTCCCTACTGGAAATTTCCGGCTTTCGTCTTCAAATACACGGAAGGAATTTAATAAGTGAGTACCTGCACGCTGATCATGCAACTTCCTATCACGTATGACTTAAGGGATTCTATGCCAAAGTTCCACAGTATCGTAGAACGTATGCTCCGAGACTTATGTTCAGCTCACCCATGGTCTTTTGCAAGGTTTTACGGATATTCGTATTGTTTCAAGAAGACTCCATCGCAATCAAGACATGCATATGCACATGATCTGATCAGCGATGTCTTACTGTTGACGATTTTGATTCTCTTCTAGGTCGTGACGGTTGCGCATCGTTGTTGTGAACAACGTTGTTATGCAGATGAGATTCTCCTGGCCGTGACGTTTCATACCAAGTTACAGATTTTCTGTAAAGAGTTTTAGTTAGGATTTTCCCTTGGAATTAAAGCTAAAAAATTCTTTCGGAATCTCCAGATCAACATAGAGGAGCGCAAGATCCTGGATAATACTTTGCATGGCAACTATGTGCGTCGGCAAAAATAGTCTAGAGATGCAGGGCTCGAACATGGAACTACCACCTGGATTCCGTTTTCATCCTACAGATGAAGAGCTTGTAAGCTACTATCTGACCAGGAAGATCAGGAACCCCGATTTCTCTGTAAGGGCCATTGGAGAAGTGGACCTGAATAAGTGCGAACCGTGGGACCTTCCTGGTATGCATTGTTTATTTAAATTAAATTCAACTTTTTAGGATGCTGCACCATGGATTTCATTAGGAGTACAGGATACTGCGGCAACACTAGATTAATTCCTTGAAAAACCTTTACAGTACTTGATTCTTGTTTGTTTTCTCAGTGAAAGCAACGTTTGGGGAGAAGGAGTGGTACTTTTTTAGCCTACGAGACCGAAAGTATCCAACGGGATTAAGAACCAACAGAGCCACTGAGAAGGGCTACTGGAAAGCAACAGGCAAGGACAAGGATGTTCTACGTTCTGGCGATCACTCGCTAGTGGGCATGAAGAAAACGTTGGTATTCTACCGTGGTCGCGCACCTAAGGGCGAGAAGACTAGTTGGATAATGCACGAGTATCGAGTGGAGAGTGACTCTAGTAATCAGACCAACCAGGAGCTGCCACGATCCAAGGTTATTCCCTCATGTCACGCTCAAACTGATAGATTTAGTATGGTCTTTAATCGAACCAGCCGTTGTCAGTTGGACTTGAATTCTCTTCATGCCTCTTATCTTTCGAACTCCGTGTTAATAACTAAATCTATGGGATGCCGGGGTTGGTAAATTTAGAACTATTCACGTACATGGAAAAATGATTTTCCTTCATTTGGCAGCAACACTGATTTTTGCTCTCAGTGGATTTTCTTAACCTTCGATCGCTGCTGCAGGATGAATGGGTGGTTTGCCGGGTATTTTACAAAAACGGCGGAGGGAGGCACAAGTATGTCTTGCACAGTGGTTTGGACTCTCTCCCAAACAACTCCGATTCTGCAATCCCTGGCCATCTTGAGAGCTCCCCAAATCCTTCAGTGAACGAGGATGGAGACTGTGATACAAGAGTCAAAGGAGCGGAAAGGGAGGTCACCTGGATGGGCGGGCCCAAATTGGGAGTCAGTATCACACCCACAAGATTAAAGTCCATTGCAGCTTCATCTCCTGATACAAACATCTCACTGTACAACCAAAACCCAAATTTTCTGGATTTTGGCATCTCTCCTCATGGCGCGATGTCAAATATGACGTCCTTGAAGTCATTCAACCGAAATGGAAACCGTATGCGATTGAAGGACGAACCATACTATGCATGTGAAGGAGAGGATGGAGCTCAAACCAACCAGGGTTTGGGTTTAGATTACTCGTGGTGTGGAGGCGTTATTTACCAAGATATGTCCCTCGAGGGTCCGATTGCCCCATTTCTGTCCTTGACTGCTGAAATTGATTGCATTACAGAGAGTTTCAGTGAGGAGCAGCAAGCCCGGCCCCCCAGCCGTATCCGAAGCTTATCCGGCGTCCCTGAGATCCACGGACCCATGGACACTCTTCAGGAAATCATGTGGGCTTACTGAACTGAATCAACCAAGCTGTGCTCCTGTAATTATATCAACCTCGATTAGGCTTAGATCATGTATTGAATTTAAGCACTTTGCCACCTCAAGAAAATTAGTCTAGTCAGAGGTATGCACATGTAATATACTGTGTCATATATCTCACCCTTAACCCCCTTACGGTGCGGTGCATCTGCAGAACTTCGACCTGCTGAACCCGAATTCTTAGGGTTACATGTAATCGAGTGGGGCAGGTAGTGATCAATACCAATCACGGTGCCGCTTAGAAGGCTAAAATGTACAGTGCGCATTTACGTAGCCTAGCCGGGGACGAACTACAAAATTTTTAAAATGTATCGTGACGTTATAAATTTTTTACTTACTAGTATCCTGATGGCTCTACCCCCTCACACAATCTCTACTTCTCTTCAATCTGAGGCTTGAACTGTCGATGTGTTCTTTTGCCAAACCGCGAAACCAATTCAAGACTAGAGTAGCTGTAACATCATATTCTCTTAAATGTAGAATCATCCAAGTCGTGAGAACCTTCCTAGTTATGCGGATGTGATGAAGTCTGACGAGGAATCTGACCAGGTTGTCGATACTATTCGGTGATGCATTGAAAACATTCCTCCAGGACTCAGCCCCCCAAATTTTTTCTTTTCCAAGTCCGCCACTGTAGCTCGATGAGCACCCATGTGAACATTCCATTCCGACGTGGTCAAAGCACTTTCTGTACGTGTCAGGTGCGGTTCATGCGCAGACCCACCCAGAAAAGATATCTCGCCATCGACGAATCCAAATCTCCAGCAGGACTTCCCTCCGATACCTTTCAACCATGGAGACAATAACCATGAGGATTATCCATAAAGATTCACGATCGAAATTCCAGCCGCATAAAGAAAGGAACCCTGTCGTCTCATTGCCTTCGGACGTGGGGGGTGAAGCGTGTGAGCCGCGGTCAGAGGTCCACGACAAGCGGTTCTTCACAGATGAGTGAACCGCCGATGGCACTTGCCCAATCGGCAGAACATTCTCAGAAATTGGGTTCTGTAGATTTTCTTTGTAACGTGCGGCGCAGGAAATTGTTTCAGTTTGTGGAGTATCTGACGACATGGTCTTGCTATTTCGGTTGTCTTCGAATTTCGTGAGGAGGAATGCTTGTGCCGCTGCATCATGGGAAAGACGTAGAGTGAAAGAATTGTGAATTGTGTGTACTCTTCTGTATGAGGTGGTAGACTGTGACGACGGTTGCGAGATGGGTGTCGTCGCAACGAGAAGATAGTTTGCGAACTGAGGCGGCATAGCTTCAGAAGCTTGGAGCTGCGGCGTGATCGTGGAAAACGTGACGGCGGCGGCTGAAGTTATAGCCGCGACGGCACGTTACTGTAGATTATGTTAAAATAATTCATAGTTAAATATTTCTAACTATAAAATGATATGTATGTGTATATATATATATATATATATATACATGGGATTATTATTAATTTTGCGGGAATTTTTTTACTTTCTTTAAATTCCAGATTATATATGATTAATGTAAATTTATAAATCAGTAAAAAAATCATATTAATTGAACTATTTCAGTTACTAAATAAAATGTGATTACCAATAAATCCTGTGATTATTTGTGAAAATGATATACATGTGTGTTGATTTTATTTTAATTTTTAAAAATTCTGGTTTATTAAAATGATGAAACTTGAATATATTATAATGGTTTAAGGTGAAACTTTTGTGATTGTTGCTTATTTGTGTTTATATTAAGTATGCTTATCAAGCTTTTATGTGTTTTTTATTTATGATTTTTGTGTGAAGTAGGCAAGATGAGTATTGCTCCTTTGCATGCAAAACTAGATATCTTGCTAACTAAAAGAAAAGTCAAGCTTTAAAATTGAGTTCTATTTATTAGGACACAAGTCAATAAAGGCTTGGTTTTATATATCAAAGACATATCTAATTTCATTGAATAAGTAAGCAATTTTTCACATAAAGGCCAATACTATCTTTTGGGATAAAAAGTCAATTCATTCAAAGGCTTGTGAATCTAAATCAAATCTTAAATCTTAATCAAATCCTAAATAAATTTCAACCAAATTCTAAAAACATACTAATCAAATTCTAATTAAATTTTAAACAAATCCTAATGAATCTCTAAGTAAATGATTACCAAATCCTTATAGTAGTCTTAAAAGCTCAATAATTATTAATTGAATAATTATTTTGCTACTATATTTTTTAATTAGGCTCTTCTATAATAGAATCTATATTTATATCTTTTACCATTTAGTAGTATTATTGTGAAGGATATGAAGCTCAAAGAAAGAAATCCTCAATACACTTTTGTATCAATTAAAAGAACTAACAAGTCACTCAAAGATGGTATAGTATTAAACTAAAACCACTATTGCCAAAGACAAGAAAACTACAAAAGTCTTGAAACAAGACTAAGGACTAAAAAGGCATTCACAAGAGTGAAGAAAGCTTCACTCTTCCCTCCATATATACACTTAACTAGGAGCTATGTGGCGGTATCCTATAAGACCTCTAAAACATGTTGACTTTGTAAGATACATATCTTAACTTGTAAGATAAATTTTCTATATGTATGCCACATAGTTAGCTTATTCTCCAAGTTATCAATACATGGTTAATTTGTTGATCATGTTTCTAAGCTACCATTTAATACATGGTTAATTATAAATACATGGTTAATTATAAATACTTTGACACTTATATGTATTTATAATTAATCATACATTTATAGATAAGTTATCAATATATGGTTAATTATAAATACATATAAAGTCAAATAAGCCTCTACAAAGCTTCTTTAGAAAATATTATGAAATAAAACTACTTTTACTTACTTCTATTTAATCATATAGATAAATATTAGAGTAAATATGTATGTTTGTGACATTATCTCTCTTTCTAAAAATAAGTTCTATGAAGAGCAATTATTATATGTTGAGGAAATTAAAGATGTGGCAAATTGTATTTGCCACATACTCTAATGTTTGTTCTCTTTAAAGATGATTGATAGGTCTTCTCAGCCATTGATAGTATCTTATACTAGGGCAAAAAGATCACCCTATTATTTGATTGTTGTTGAGGCTTTTATAACTTCCTTTAGATAAAATATTTGGAATATTGTCAAAAGTTATTTCAACTTCTAATAACATCACCAAACATCGGGAGTCTCTTCCAAGGTTGTGATACTAGACACATTATATCTTGCCATCTATTTGAGGAAGGGTGTATTGTTCTTGAGAATCTTCATCTTGATTACATCGTCTTGAAGATTGTGAAAATCACAATATTTTATTTGATAAGTTAGCAAGTGATAGCTTCTAAGTTGAATTTGCTAATTTTTGGTTTTCCATCTTCTTAGTATGAAAAATACACAAAAGTATCAAACAAGAATAGAAGGTAGAATGCTATCTTTCTTAGAACTTATTTCTTTTATAGCAAAGATTTGTTATTCTTCATCATAATTTTGATGGATGTTATCAATGAAAAACTTCAATCTTCTTTATTATATTTCGAAGATTCTTTGCTGGCTCCCATGTGTGTTTACTAATATTATATCTGTACCAATGAACAAGGTATTTTAAACTATTTTGGTGCTATGAAGAATCTAAGACTTCTTCTACTTTGAATTCTTGATTATTATCCACTTCTATAGGTGGAAGTGACATTTGTCTTCTTTCCAAGATATTCATTGATTTATATGTGATGGATCTTTATAGACTCTAATAGATTTAATCAATAAGCAACAAGATTGATTTATTTACTATTAAAAAAAGGTCCAAGCCTATAATAGTCCAACTTGTTACAAGGACAAGTAGTCTTAATATTGCAATAAATTAGCCATACCTTGTCACCCACATTGAATTGTGGTTGTTTTGTACGATATGTATCTGTATTGATCTTTTTTTTGTTCATGAGCTTCTTTTAATTGTGCCTTCATTGTTGCATACATCCAAAATGTCTGACTATTGAAAAGTCATGACAAGCTTGAAGAATACGTAATGAAGCTTTACCTTTTAGAATGTATAATTGTCCTTCAAAGTAGAATAAATTATTCTTAAATTCAAACTTAGAAGTATCATAAGACTTAAAAGAATTATTCTTGATATTGTGAAGAAGAGGATCAAAAGACACATTTGATTGAATTTTCTTGACAAAGGTTGAATCAACAATCAATGTTGATTTTATTGCTCAAAGGTAAAAATGCTCCAACTTCAAGAGAATTGTTCCTTATTGATAAAAAGATGTATCTCCTTCTTTTGATGCAAGATAATATTTAGAAAAAGCATCCAACAAATCTTATTGTTTTTTGGATCAATAAGTCATCTTAAAATCAAATCTTGATTTATGACATACTCAAATAAGCTTGGAGATAATTCAAAACACTTGTTAATATAAAATACTTGAGATTCTTATGTTCTATATATATAGTATTTGGAGTAGAAGTGCCTTCTAGATAATAATGCCATTCTTGAAATGAATCCACAATTGTAAGAAGTTTTTTGTCATGGATCTCATAGTTAATTTTGGCTGCTGAAAATTTCTTGGAATAAAAGCTAGTAGATGGAGCTTATCATCTGCTCCTATTTGTGATAAAACAACATCCATAGCAAAGCTTGATGTGTTTGTTTCCATAAAGAATACCTTAATAAAATTGATGTGATATAAAATTGGTACAAAAATAAATGCTGTCTTCAAGGCTTTAAAAGATATTTTAATTTCTTTATTTCATTCAAGTTCGTCTTTACATGTCAAATGTATAAGAAGAGTCGTAACTTGAAAAAAATTCTTGATAAAGATTCAATAGTAATTGGCAAATCTCAAAAAATATTGCATATTTTTGTATATTTTTGAAACCTTCTAATCCATGATAGTTCGAACCTTCTTAGGATCTATTATTAATCCTTCATTAGAAATGATGTATCATAAGAAGTCAACTTGAGTAGTATAGAATATATACTTTTTCATCTTAGCATATAATCATATATCTCTAAGTTTTTGTAATATGTGACAAACATGAAGTTCATATTCTTTTATGTTTTTAAAAGAGATTAAAATGTTGTTTAAATAACAAACAATAAAATCATCTAGAAATTCATAAAAAATATCATTCATGGAATATCAAAAAGCAATTGGTGCATTCGTGAGTCCAAAAAGCATAATATTATATTCAAAATATCTATACCTAATTTAGAAAGTAGTCTTCCATTCATCTCTTTTTTTGATGCATATTAGGTTGTATGATCCTTGTAGATTTATTTTTTTGTATAGATTTTTGCTTAATTGAATTGGTTAAGAAGTATTGAAATCAGAGGTAGTGAATATTTATTCTTAATAGTGATCTTATTAAGTCCTTGATAGTCTATGTACATCT